CTGCCATGTGAGCCAGCATGTGATGTTGTTTTCAGGCCATTGGGGTTTTTCTTAAAATACCAAAAAATATGCTGTCAGGAGGATGCTTTGTGTTTGAGTACTAACCTTCGTTCATAAACATAGAGAAATATATTAGAATAATCTGACTCCTTAAACTTTTCTCAATCGCTCCATCCATCTCCCACTTGTCAGACAGGCCTGGTACCCACTGGTGTAACTTTCTGAAGGACTGGTGTAGACATGTCCCCACCAACTTTGACATGGGTGGGGACAGTCCCCACCAATCATTTGTACAGCTGTGTTCGGCTCATTTACTTTAGCAAACAACAGTGACCTCAGGACGCGCCCTGCTGTGTGTGTTCTGAGAGTTTTCAGTCAGCGTTTCTGTCTCGCTATCCTGCTGCTCCTGTGTCCCGCCTGCTGATATAACATCATTGGATCCTATGTCCATGGCTCCATGTCTGTCACTTTAAGATATAACATAATTGGTGGTAGCTATTCACTGTGTCAACAGTAGCTACGTGATTGGAGGAGAGACGACACAGAGCAGCACTCATTAATATTAACCAGCAGTTACTTTAGGTTTTGAATTGAAGATTAACATTTCAACACCCTTCCAGGAGTCTTTGTCAATTCTCAAATCAGAGAAATCTCATGGAGGTATGGAGGTCCATCCTCCTTAGTACATTCTAGGCCAAATGCAAATCATAGACCTTGGTTCTTTAAGCCTTTTGTTTTGTATGGGTTTAGTGTTTGGCCATTTGAATCATGATGAGTGTTACCTTGCAAACAAGATGAATTGTTGTGAGATTTGGAAGTTGACAAATGCATCTTGCCAGAAGCCAACGGATTAATTCGCCTCGATACAGAAATTGTTTGGACCAATGAAATAGAGTGACATGTATGACGTCAACGACATCAACCAAAATGAAGCAAAACAATCAGGACAGCACCATTTTTAGCTGAATACCGTCTGTTTCTTTTTTAAAAAAAATATGTTTTTGTTTATGTGGATGTGAAGCTGGTTGCGTGTTCCTCACGACTGGACGGTAAGAGTTTGATTTATCAGTTAACTCAGTGAAACAAAAATGCGATATGTCTCAGCTGCTACTGCTGTTGTGATTGGCTAAAAACTTAACATAGGAGGCAGATACCCAATCAGCTGGAAGAAATATACTGAATGTCCCTCCTTTTGGAAACATTTTGTACAGGAGGCTCCCCAGATTGATACACGTAGTTAAATTTGTATTTTACACAGTATAAATCTGGTTTATGGCAGGTTATGCGTTTTCCTGTGTCATTAGAATTAGTTCCAGGAGCAAATGGTAGATTCTTGTAAGCTAAAACCGCAATCTTCCCACTTCTGTTTGTTGATGGTTTTTTCCATTTTAACAAAAAAGGCTTCCTTGAAAATCTTAACATTTTGGTCATCAAAAGTTTGTCCAAGTGTACAATTTAATCACTGCTGGCTCTCCTGTGCTGTGCCATGTTTGTATAGCTGTTTGGTTTCTCATTTATAGCCATCAATGCAGTACTTGCTGCGCTGGAAGGGGTAAACAATTCCAGTCTCCGGGATAGCTGCACAAACGTGCTCAGAAAAATTGAACAGAACCTGGTAGACTCTGCTTTAAGCCCGTTTTGGGCTTTCCATTACCAGAATGACTAAGAATGTACACAGGACATTTTTATTTTTGGTCAAACATAACTGGTGGAAAAAAAAACAGATACTGTTTTTATTGATGTTTTATTCAACACAATTTCCTGTAACAGATGTGTCACATTATTAAAAAACATTGTGGGAAGGTCACATGTTCTGTGGTAAAAGCTCGTGTCCCAAATTGACCCGATAAGATAAATACATGTATAAATGTTTTTTT